TTGCTCCACATATGAACAAACTAATCACCTCTTTTTCAAAATGTAGTCTTTGGGTAAAGCTATGAGGGTTAGCAATATCATAATGTGGAAACTGCAGAGATTCTGCAAGACTTGCAGACAAAATTGGATGGATTAAGATAACTGCATTCCCAGCTGCTGTTCAGAGTGTCAGAATCAGCGTGATTGAAGAGCTTGGGAATTCTGATGTCAGCCAATGGCTTGTACGCTTTAAGTTGACATTTTCTATGTTTGTGTAGGCGTAAGTTTAATTTTGTTAATAACAGAAAATACTAAACACTGTATAAGCTGAAGACAAGTGGAAAATGGTTCATTTTAAGATTGGAGGGCTGGGGGTGTGTATCAGTGGTAGAGTGCTTATCTAGCATGCATGAAGCCTCGGACTCGATTTCCCCCACACATACACACAGGAAAGAGATTGAAATTTGATATAACTAAGTTTGACTTTTGCTGAATAAATCATGCAAACTTTATCCAGTGTCTCTTGAAAAATGTAGTACTTCAAAATAGTTAAGTTGCTTTGAAGAATTAAGGCTACTAGTTTATATGGCATAGCCAAAATGTCCTATTCTTTTTTTTGGGGGGGAGGAGTGGGAGGAGTGCTGGAGATGAAACTCAGAGCCCTGGGAGTGATAAGGAAATCTGTCACTCAGCTGTATCCCCACCCCCAAAAAAGTTTGGCACACAGGAGAATGTTTCCCTTAGGTAAGGGAATCTCAGCACAGGTTTTGTTTGAAAGGTAAGCCTTTCTTTTGTAAAATGGGCTGTTCTCAAGCAGATTAACTGTTGGAAAGCGCACCTGTGGAACCTGGGAAGCTGAAATTGATTCCCTTAAATGTATTTGTCCAAAGCAAAGCTAACCTTTACTGACAGAGGTTAGGATAGTGTCAGCTTTGGTATGGGGTGAAGTAGGGGAAGAACACTACCCAAGTCCTTTATCACTTTCACTTCTCAAACATCTCTAGAATCTGTTATTTCTCTGAATTTCCATGGCTACTATCCTAGACATGCTTTCAATTTTAGATGACTAATTATCCGCTGGCTTGCTTTCCCCACACTCCCATGTTTTATGCCTCTAACTACCCTATGTCATCTAGTGAATTCCTGGATTTCTTTTCAGAGCTAAATTATCACAAAGGAAGCATCCATGACCTACTGTGCTAAAATAGTCCTATTATATATTTTCATAAGACTGTATCTTTCTTTAATAAGGTTGTAATTTTAGTTTTTTTGTTTTTTTTTTGTGGCACTGGAGTTTGAACTCAGGAATTCATGCTTGCTAGGCAGGTGCTCTTACCAACTGAGCCACTCCAGCCCTTTTCCTGTGATGGGTTTGTTTTGAGATAGGGTCTTGAAAACTATTTGCCTGGGTCTGGTTTCGAAACCATATTGTCCTGATCTCTGTCTCCTGAGTAGCTAGCATTACAGGTGTGAGCCACCAGCACCCAATTCATTCTCTTTTCTTATAGACTCTGAAGCATCACCAGAGAAATTTAGGGCTCTATGAAACACCATTTAAAAATAATTGGCTTAGTGAAACATAATTACCAGGTTTGGATCTTTTTTTTTAAAACACAGGAGAAGCATATGACTTCTCCAAGCTAAGTACCCTTAGTACCATTTCATTCCATATTTCTGAAGACATAATTGTTAGGAAAAACACCACTCTCAAAGAAAGCTCACGAGAAAAGGCTCACGTCCATAGAGCAAGGTTTAATGGCAGGCCCAAACTGCCAGGCTGGCCGGGGAAAAGATGGTGCAGCCCTGAGCCTGGGCGAGCAGTGGCTTTTATAGAAGGGGGAGGGTAAGGAGGTTAGGGCATGCGCAGTAGTCTCTGGTAGGGGTGGGGCTGTCTTAGAGCGTGGGAATTTGTTTAAGGGCCGGGATGCCATTTTGGCTGATTCACAAAATGGCGACATTATTGTTCTATCGTTCCCCCATTTTTTCTTTAATAATGATGAGGGTAGGGGCTGAGGATCAGGAATTGGGGCAAAGCATCGGTCTCTTTAACTGCTTCCTGCTGGCAGGGGGTGTTGTTTGGGGCAGGATCCTCAGGCTCCTGTGGTGTCCTGGATGGGGCCTTCACAGTGGTTTTCAGGGCGGTTTTGGAGAGTTGGCATCCCTGGCAGGTGTAACTGGTTAAGTTTTGATTAGCAAGCGCAGACATGCCAGTATGACACAAGGGAGGAAGCTTAAGAATAGGAGAGCAGAACACAGGCGTCAGGATGGGCAACATTACTGTTCTATCAATAATGAGAAGAACAGTTTGGCTGAATATAATCGGTCCTTTAATGGAAGTTGAATAAAATTGGTTCTAAGATTCAAGTAGGTGTAATCACACTGCTAGTAACAATATTTTCAACTCCTCATGTGGTGTACAGCTGGGACTTGGAAGGAAAGCGCACGATATGATGAAACTCTTGTCAGCTTAAGGACCACTTTGTGAAAGGGAAGACTTACACATCACTGTAAAGGAAATCTGTTATCTTTACCAACATGGATTAAAAGAGAGTAAAACCGCAAAAAAAAAAAAAAAATTGAAGCCTCAAAAGGTTTTTTTTTTTGAAGTAGCAATTATATCTACAGCTATTTATCATAATAAAAATGAAAAGTGATAAATTATGAAAAACATTCTTTTAAAGTGACAGTAAATCTAATACATGCTTACATAAGTGGCATATTTCACAGGAAATTTGCCACATAAATTTTCTACATAAAAATTAGTAAAAGACTGATGTATTATTTTTTGTAAATCCCTGATATCTAACTTATAAGATAGCTGAGTTCTCCTACCTGCTTCTGCAAACAGTGTTATGACATCACAACGTAACAGCTGGAAAATGTATTCTTGTGAGAGAATGACTGTGGAAAAGCAAGTAAGATATTATATGAAGATGTTTGTCCTCAGGATCTCATGAATGAGCCTCAGGAACTATTGGGGATCCCCAGTTTAGTTTTAGAAGTTCTAGACCCAATGGTCTCTTCTAGCTAGAACTGATAGTCTAATTAAATTTCTAATTAAAACTGTTTTGGAGATTATTATTATCAAAATACCAAACATGAATATGAGGTGCTCAGGGCTGTAATCCTAGCTATTCAGGAGAGAGATCAGGAGGATCAGGAGGATCTTGGTTTGAAGCCAGACCCAGGGCAAATAGTTCGAGACCCTATTTTGGGGGGAAAAAACCATCATAAAAAAAGGGCTGGTGGAGTGGCTCAAGTGCACCTGCCTTGCCAAAAAAAAAAAAAAAGAGAAAGAAAAAAATGTTGACTTTTAAAAAGAACGAATAGAAAAGTAGCTTATTATAATAATAGGTAATTATAGTATTTGTCACATGTATTGACTAGTTTAACTATCTCTCCTCCTAGCTTGTGAGCTTTTGAAGAAGGTATTGAGCCTTAATCCATTTTGCATTTTCATCTCTAGAACAATGTCTGACACAATAAACACCTCATAAAAATTTGTTGAATTAATAAACTGCATTGAAAAATACAAAGCCAACACAATCTATCAGTTTCTACAATCCTCAGCACACAATATTTAATACTCAACAGTTTCCTTAAAGTTACCATTATGATCCTATTTTTAGAAAATATAATTGGAGCCAGGTGTGGGTGGCTTGCTCCTGAAATCCTAGCTACTTGAGAGGGTGAGATCAGGAAGATCCCGGATGGGAGTCCAGCCTGAGCAAATAATTTGTGAAACTCTAGCTCCAAAATAACAAGCAAATTGGACTGGAAGTGTGGCTTAAGCGGTAGAGCGCCTGCTTTACAAGTACAAAGCTGAGTTCAAATCCCAGCCCCACCAAATATATGTGTATATATAATCATTGGTTGGTATGGCATTTTAATGTGTCTTCATAAATTCCTAATCACCTTCCTCATTAGGTACAGTCATGCAGTGCATGTCACGTTGGTTATATAAATGGTGGTCCCCTATATCACACTGTCTACTGAGCTAGCTTACTGCAGTACACACACTCCAAGATATTAGCACACATTTCTCAGAACGCATCCGGTCATTAAGGATGCGTGACTATTGAAAAACGCCTTTTGACTTCAAGTACAGATTACATCATTTGATATAATTCATTTGCTGAAAAAGTCATGACTGATTTTTTTCTTCTTAGCTTTGTGTCTTAAGATGACCTCAAAGTGGCAACAGAAACAGATTGGCCGCTCACGTTAAAAGCTGGCAGGCTCCGCACCTTACTTTCACTCTACTTGATGCATTTGTATTTGCATACTCCCTGCTGTGTATCACGCACAGACAGCATCCATCCCAACTTTGGCGGGAAGAGGATCCCTGGAAGATATGCCCAGAGGCGTGGGTGTCCTGCCAAGGCCAGGGACTAGGGCGGGGGCCTGAACTGGTCCAGTCATGATGGAACTCAGCATCCTCCTCCCCAAACTAGGCGGGCCGGGCGGGAAGTGACTAAACCTTGGCGGCGGGCGGGAGGGCGCGGTATTCCCAGGAGCCTGGGGCGTGAGCAAGGGAAGAAAGCCGCAGGCCAAGGCCCACAGCGTCCGGGGCTCCACCCCCGAGGCCAGCTCCCAGCGACTGGGGAGACCGGAAAGAGGGCGGGCCCTTCCGGTCGTCTCGGCCCCCAGCCGGCCCTGCACGCCCGCCGCCCCAGAACTTGGCTGACCTGGTGCGCTCGCGACGCCCCTCAGCAAGGACCAGGCGGCAGGGATGGAAACGAAGCTGTGCGAAGCCGGACATCCCACAACTGCCCACCAAACTAAAAGCAAAACTGCACCCTCCACGCTCCAGCTCCGGGGTCCAGTGCCCCCGTGGCGCACTCAGCACCGCCCAGCGCCGCTAGCGGCAGGGGCGTGGCTGCTGAGCTGGCCAGAGCGGATTCGCTGCTCTCTGCTTAGGGGGCGTGGCAACCTCGCCTAGCCCCGCCTCCTCCCCCTGCTTTTGATTCCTGAAGGAAATAGCGGCTTGCTCTGGGGCTGGTGCGGCGGGAGGTGGGGCAGGGAGGCGGCGGAGGCCAGAGTCCAGAAGGCCTGGCTGCGAGGGAATGAAGCCTCCGCCTTCTCGGGCAGAAGCCTTTAAATACAGGCGCGAGTCCGGGACTCGGGACGCGGCGCTAGGCATCCTGACGCAGGGGAGTGCGTGCAGTGCGGACGGGGCGCGGTGCAGAAGCTGCGGCGGCGCGGTGCGGAGCAAGGTGCGGTGCGGGCGTTCGGGATCGGAGCGGTGGGCCAGGGAGTGAGCAAGCGCCTTTCCGCGGCTAGTCCCGAGCGCCGTGCCTTGGCCCCGCGGGATGCTCCAGGCCCGCGGGACGCGGAGGGAGCAGGCGGGGCGGGACGCGCGGCTCCGGGCCGCCCCCTGCCCGCGTCGGCTCTCAGCACCCTTGTCGTCTTTGGGACTCAGGGCGGGAATAGCGCGTGCTGTCCTGTAGATGGGATCGCCTGGGCTGCGAGTTCTAGACTTGTGTGTCTGCAGGCCCCCCTCTTTCTGCTTGTCCACTTTCTGACTTGATCTTGTCGATGGGGACCTCACTGGGGTCTTTTGTTGGGGTTTAGAGTCTGCTCACCTGTGGTGGGGGGTGCTGCTTTTTCCTCTAGCCGTCCCTCATAGGAAACCATAGAAAGCAAAGCCAGAAAGCTCCTTTGATGGCGAAATCCTAATACGATCGTGGTATCCGTGTGACCGCCCAGCAAGCCATTGTTGGCCGCTACACCCTAGAATTGCGCTGTGCATGTCAGAAGGGCCTTTCTTAGGTGCTTCAGGGGACCATGTTTGTGTGAGATCTTGAGAAATTGCACGTCCTACGTGTAAGATGATTGAGTAAGGCTGGGGATTTTGGTACACAGAAAAAAGGGGTGGGGAGCGATTCATAGAATACAGAGCCGGAGCTGTCCTACCAACCGCCCTCAAAGACACAGTGAGTCTTTGAGTTCTAATACCCTAAGAAATGGAGAACAGTAGTCTAGTCTGTCTCTTCACAGGGGCTTAGGAAATAAAAAATGAAAGAGCTGACTGTCTGTTCTAGGTAAATGCTAGACAACCCCAACTGAAAGGGTCTCAGTTTTTCTTTTCTTGCTGTTAGTTTCAGGTTATCTACGAAGGATATGCTGAAGACGAATGGGGATGGAGGGATTATATTTTCTTTATTATATATTTTTTTTATTTTCATGATGGGACTCGGGTTTGAACTCAGGGCTTTGTACTTGCAAAGCATGCACTCTACCACTTGAGTCACGTCTCCAGTCCATTTTGCTCTAATTATTTTGGAGATGGGGGTCTCATGAACTATTTGTTGGGGCTTGGCCTTGAGACACAGTCCTCCCAATTTTAGCCTCCCAATTAGCTGGGATTACAGGAGTGAGCCTCCAACTTCTGGCTATATTCTCTTTAGGTTGTAGTTTAGGGCATTCCTTATGTCGAAATGTTTGAATTGAAGAGTAGTTTCAGGATGGCTTGGTTTGTTCTGACTTCCAAAATAACAGGTGAGAACTTAATTCAAAATGACCTAGTAGCACATTTTCCATTTTTCTGACAGCCCAGTCAGGGGATGGGAGTACATAAAAGTAGAAATAGGAAATGGAATCAGAAAATAGCTGTTATGCAAAAATGTGTCACAAACACTATCAAACTCCATATTAAAGTGTATTGAGAATTTTTTTTTTTTTTGATACTTGTGTTTGAACTCAAGAGCTTCATGCTTGCTAGGTAGGTGCTCCACCACACTAGACCTAGAGCCACTACACTAGACCTTTTTTGTGTTGGATATTTTTGAGATAGAGTTTCTCGAACTGCTCCCCTGGTTAGTTTTGAACCAGGATCCTCCTGATCTCTGCCTCCCAAGTAGCTAGGATTATAGGCATGAGCCACCGTCACCCAGCTATATTGAGTTTTTTAGTGAAACTTCCAAGTGACTGTTTATTTGGATTTGCACAAACTGTGCATCCAGCCTCTTCACTAATTTCTCCATTGAAGTACAAGCCATACTTCATATGAAAAAGCAAGGCCAGGATACCCAAAATAAAGTTTTAAAACACATCTAATTCTACAATACAGGTCCATTTGCCATTAGCGGTCTACTCCAGCTGCGTTAAGAAAGGGAAGCTGAAATCTGGGCTCACAATCGAGACAGATAAGAAGTAACTCTGGGGAAACATACGGAAGTTTTGTTTTGGTGGCCCTGGGGTTTGAACTCAGGGCCTCATGCTTGCTAGGCAGGCGCTCTGTCACTTGAGCCACTCCACCAGCCCTTTTTTTGTGATGGATATTTTTGAGATAGGGTCTCTTTTTGCCAGAGGCTGGCTTCAAACTGTGATCCTTCTGATCTCTGCATGGCTATGCTGAAGTTCTTTAGGCAGTTACATAAAAGAAAGAATGACCACATTCTCGTTGCTCACTGTAAAATACTGTGATCAGCCACCTGAACTGAAGCTGTTTAGACAGAAGTCTGCAGTGTGGCTCTGTGGAGTGTTACTTACTTAGTTAATAGGGCTTCCGTTCTGTATGCTGAGGATATTGTGAGCAGCAGCACATAAGAACTGTTAGTTTTGGTTCCTTATTAAGCTATGAACTCCTTAAATCCAGGAACCGCATCAAGTAGACCTTTAATCATTGCTTATTCTGTGAATGTTAGCAGAACCTGTCCTAATTGAAGTGGACACCTGGAGTGACCTCTTGGCTATGGAATGACTTGATAACCTCGAAAGGTCCTATGTTCCAGAATTACTTTGAAATTGTATTTTTTAGATATTCTGAATATATAGGTTTTAATTAAAAAGGGAGGCAGGCTAGCTGTGCTGTACTCTTACAGGGTGGCAGCTCTTCAGGTTCATAATAGTTCAGAACCTGACCTTTGGCCTTGTAGATATGAAAGTAACCTCCCTGTCCACCCACTACCACATGGGCCCAGAGTTAATTAGGCATCAGATGTTGACTTATGATAATCTTGCTTTTGGGCTGGCAAAGTGGCTCAAGGGTAAGAGCACCTGCCGAGCAAGCTTGAGGCCCTGAATTCAAACTCCAGTACCACCAAAAAAAAAAAAAAAATCTTGCTTATGAAGAGACTGATGGCTATTCTAAAAGGAAACTTTATGACAATAGTAGAGGAATTTTATTTCAGAGCCTGGAATACAGTTGTCCTTGGATATCTGCAGGGGATTGGTTCCAGGACCTCTGTATATACCAAAATCTGAGGACGCTCAAGTTCCTTACACAAAATGGTGCAATATTTCCATATCCTATGCTTATCCTTCTGTATACTTTAAATCATTTCTAGATGACTTACAATACCTAACACAGAAGAAATAGCTGTTATACTTTATCATTTAGGGAATAAAAATAAGAAAAAAAGTATATACATGTTCACTACAGACCCAATTTTTTTTTTCAAAAGTTGGGCCAATCTGTATGTAGAACCCATGGACACAGAGGGCTTGTGTTTCAAATGCACGCCTTCCCTTTTTTTTTTTTTTTTTTTTTTTGGTGAGACGGGAATTTGAATGCAGGATTTTCCTCTTGCAAAACAGGTGCTCTACTGCTTGAGCCACACCTCCAATCCATTTTGCTGCAGCTATTTTGGAGATGGAGTCTCAGTAACTATTTGCTCAGGCTGGCCTCAAACCCAGATCCTCCCCATCTCAGCCTCTGAAGTAGCTAGGATGACATGCATAAGCCACTGGCACCTGACTAGGCCATTCCTTTCTAGTAGCATGGCTTCTGGGGATATGGATTCATGATGTAGAGTAGAATCAGAGCAAAGAATCTGGGAAACACACCATCCAAGTATGGAAAAGTCTGTTCCTATCTCCTTTTCTCTGAAACCAGAAAACTTTTGACCTAGATTCCATGTCACTATTTATTTGACTGTATTGAAGATAAATATTGCATCAAAGATTGTGTTCTTATTCTTAACTAGCAGGCTCCTCTTTTTTTTTTTTTTTTTTGGTGCTAGAGTTTGAATTTAGGGCCTCACACTGGCTAGGCAGGTGCTCCACCACTTGAACCACTCTGCCAGCAATGTTTTGTGATGAGTGTTTTCGAGATAGGGTCTCCTGAACTATTTGCCTAGTTCAAATCGAGATCCTCCTGATCTCTGCCTTCTGAATAGCTAGAATTACAGGTGTGAGCCACTGGGGTCCAGCTCATAATCCCTTTTTTAACACTTATTTTCCCTCCAGCAGAAGGTACTGAAGTTTGAACACAGGTTCTTGTGCTTACTAGGTGTGCAGTGTACTGCTTGAGCTCCACCTCCAGCCCTGCTAGGAGATTTTAGATACATTAATCCCATTGATTCTTGTGATTACATTCAGTTCTGCTACATTAAGTTACTAAGTGACAGCCTTTCACATTGTTACACAGCTTTCCTGAGAGACATTGGAGACCCACTTACAGTTCACTTCCACTCTGGGAGACAATTGCTACTTCTCCTTAATACCCACTTTCTTGTGCAGTTCAGGGGATCTGTTGCCTCACTTCTCTCCACTAATTTCTGCTTGTCTACATTCCCTGCCTCTAATCTGGAATGCATCTTCCCCCTTTCCTTTTGTTTCTAAATCCTACTCATTCTTTGGGCCAAGCTGAGGTTCTACATCTGCCTTGAGACTTTTTTTTTTTTTTTTGGCAGTACTGGGGTTTGAACTCCAGGCCTTCCTCTTGCTAGGCATGTACTCTACAACTTGTGCCACTCCACCAGCCAGAGACTTTGTTGTTGCTGTTTGAAACTCTTTATTTTCCTCTAGGCTTTAATAGTCCTTTTTTTTTTCCATTTGATCATTTAGTCAATTATATTGTCTTGTATAATTTAGCCATTTTACTCCAGTACGGTCATTCCTTTTCATCTTTTTTTTTTTTTTTTTGTGGTACTGGGGTTTGAACTCAGGACCTGTACCTTGAGCCAATCCACCAGCCCTTTTTTGTGAAGGGTCTCTTTGAGATAGGGTCTTGTGAACTTTTTGCCCAGGCTGGCTTCATACCACAATCCTCCTGATCTCTGCCTTCTGATTAGCTAGGATTACAGGCGTGAGTCACTGGTACCCTGCAGCTCCTTTTCATCTTTTAAATCAGTTTATGAGCCACCTTTTCAGAGTTTCCATCTCTAACTATCCTATCTAAGGAGCCTGTTTCCTCCAAGACAGTTTCTCTCTTCTACCTGTGTATTTTTCCTTTATATGGAACTTGTCACAACTGCGATTATTTCATGTGCTCCCCTACTACAACAATGGTGAGTGTCACATAGCGGGGTCTTTAGTAAATGTGGGTGTTTTTAATTTTGTCTATCTGTATTTGTAGTACTGGGGATTGAACTTGGCCTGAGGCTTGCTAGGCAAATGACCTACCTGGGCTGAACTCCTACATGGCTAGGACCACAGGCGTGAACCAGCCCACGAGGCTTACTTGTTGAGATAGGGTCTCACTAACTACCAAAATGCCCTCAAAATTCTATGTCCTGTCTCTACCTCTCAAGTAGCTGGGATTATAGGTATGTACCCCTATCCCTGGCCCTTTATAAATGTTTTTGATTGAATTATTATCTAAATAATTAATAATAAATATAAATAAACTATAAAAATAAATATCAATAATCAATAAAATAATAAATAATTATCTACAGAAATTGTCAGGACTAATATGTCTTTATGGCAAAATTGTCTGCTGTGACTGTAAATTGGGAATATTACTTTTTTGTGAGGGAGAAGGAAATAGGCCTGGAACTAAAAGAAATTATTCTAAAGCCAGAGGCCAGGCGATCCCTACTATAGAGGTGGGGACAGCTACAGTGAGTGCTGGAAACAAAACCATCTTGGGTAAGTGGCTCAAGGCTCTGCTGTCCTGCCCACAAGCAGGAGCTGTTCAGAAGCTGCTCCAGCCACACGTGCTTCCTTGCAGTCTCTCTTCCAGCCATGCAGTTTCTGGTTGCTAGGCAGGCGATCTTACTGTTTGAACCACTCTCAGCCCTGGCCTCAAACTCTTGATTCTCCTGCTGGGGCTTCCCAAGGGCTGGAATTATAGGCACGAGTGTACACACACTACTATGGGTATTTTGTCTGTTTTTTCATTAATAAGATATTCTATGTGTGTGTGTGACTTGGGTTTGAACTCAGGACTTCACTCTTGCAAAGCAAATACTCTACCACTTGCGTCTTACCTTCAGTCCATTTTGCTCTGGTTATTTTGGAGATGGGATCTTGAGAACTATTTGATCTTGAACTACGATCCTCTGGATCTCAGCCTCCCAAGTAACTAGGATTACAGATGTGAACCACCTAGACATTTTTAGGTATAAATAGTTCCTTGTAATTTCGTATAGGGTCAATCACTTCACCTCATCTTTGAAAACCTATCAAAATCTGTGCAATATCTTGGGTGTCTATAAAAATTACTTTCCTTTAACCATCTCATGGTTTCTCATTAAAGTTGAAATAGCATTTAAGATCTTTGCCCAGTACCTAACAATAATATGCTCAAGTCAGATGAAGCATGTGGGGACACTGAAGTCTGTTTTTTGCTAGTACAACAATACCTGAGGTGGATAATCTATAATGAACAGAAACTTCTTGGCTTGTGATTCTGAAGATTGGCAAATCCAAATGGAAGGGCTGTCCAGGGCCTTTTTGCTGTGTCATTCCCTGGCGGAAAAGCAAGAGAGCAAGAGCTCAAACTTGCATCCTTAAATCCTTTTATAATAGGCATTAATCCACACATAAGGGTGGCACCCTCCTGAAGGACACACCTTCTATTACGCCCAGACCTCCAACACTGCTGCATTGGGAATAAAGTTTGAAACTCACACCTCTTGAGTATACTTTCAAAACACAGCAGGAGTGTAATCTCAGGTCAGTTCTGGACTGTGGATCTAACCTTGATATCTATTATGACATTCTACACCTGTTGGAAAATTTACCTTTGTCCACCAGCCTTTAAGCAAGAATTGCACTGGTTTGTAAATTTACCCTGGAAGTTTTTCTCAGCAATTGAAATTGCCCTGATTTATTATAGACTTAAGTAAGGCTTTGTTTTGCCTTATGGCTTTCTAAATACTAGGTCATTATAATTTTTATGATTCTCCAGTAATATGTTACTATATTTTTTTCCCTCTGTTTCATCAGTTAGGTCATCCAACTGGAATTCTGTATATATATATATATATATTTTTTTTAATCATTTTTTTCATTATCCTTATGAGTAAATGGAGGAAATCTTTCCAGATATGTCACTTTGACAGCTTTTCTAAGTATGATGAATGTGCAATGTGATTTCTTTAAATTACCTATTAATAGTAATTCTTCCTTCTGTTTCCCTTCTAGTGCAGTCATGTTTGAAATTAAGAAGATCTGTTGCATTGGCGCGGGCTACGTTGGAGGACCCACATGCAGTGTCATTGCTCACATGTGCCCTGAAATCAGAGTAACAGTTGTTGACGTTAATGAATCAAGAATCAATGCATGGAATTCTCCAACCCTTCCCATTTATGAGGTAAATACATTACACGAGTCTTTGTTTTTCTGTTTTGTTTTCTTACTGTCTTTGTTAAATCCCTTATGTATCATTACCACAAAAATCTATGGCTTGTAACCGGTAAGAAACCCAGTGAAGCAAATCTGGATACAAAGTGTTAGGAACATTTGAGCCTAGGGCGGATGTAGCTCAGTGGTAAGAGCACATGAGCAGCAGAACGTGGTAAGCCCTCAGGAGTTCCCTCCCTTCCCCACACTGGGAACAGGAAGTTATGGACAGTCAAGTATGCTCAGAAAAAAAATGATTAGACAGAGTGTATCAGAAGATTAATCTGATTTTATTAATTATAGTGACATTGTGGGAGTTTTTTTCTCTTCTCTGTTTTCTAATTTTGTTTACCAATATGGTTGCCATATATTAGTAGCAGAGTTAAAAGTTGGTGTTCCCACCTCCTTAGCACATGAAATGGTGCAGCATTAAAAAAAGTTGGTGTTTTGAAGCAGTGTGCTGGTGGCTCACATCAGGAGGTTCGCGGTTCGAAGCCAGCCTGGGCAAATTGTTCTTTTTTTTTTTTTCTTTTATTATTCATATGTGCATACAAGGCTTGGGTCATTTCTCCCCCCTGCCCCCACCCCCTCCCTTACCACCCACTCCACCCCCTCTCTCTTCTCCCCACCCCCTCAATACCCAGCAGAAACTATTTTGCCCTTATTTCTAATTTTGTTGTAGAGAGAGTATAAGCAATAATAGGGAGGAACAAGGGTTTTTACTGGTTGAGATAAGGATAGCTATACAGAGAGTTGACTCACATTAATTTCCTGTGCGTGTGTTACCTTCTAGTTTAATTCTTTGCAAATTGTTCTTGAAGTTCAGTGGTAGAGGACCTGCCTAGCAAACATGAAACCCTGAGTTCAAACCCCATTGCTGCCAAAAAAAATAAAAGAAAGTTGGTGTTCTGTAAAAATACAATAAATGAAACTTTGGTCGTTTACAATATTAATGTAAGTCCAATATATTTTTGGATTATTGTATATTAGACAAAACTGAGATGAATAAATGGTGTCTTTTGTAGTTAGAGTTTAGTACCATTAATTTGTTGAACTAAAATTTCGAATTTTTTGTCAATTTTGAGAACTTCTAGTTCAGAAAATATGCTCCCATTTTAATGTTAAATCTAGGCCCCTTTATTATTCTACTGTAAAATGAGTTCATGATACTATGCTTTTGAAACCCAACAGAGAAGCATTTGAAAATCTGATAGTAGCATTTTCTGCCCAACAAAAATGGGTTTTTTATTTCCCCAAGAAAAACTTGGTTATTTTTAAGACTGTTTTCAACCATATGCTTTAGTTTTTCAGGCCTTAAAAAGAAGTCTCAACACAGTTTTATTTGTAAGCTAAGTCTGCCTGTAACTTATACACATGTGAGATATAGAAATCCATGAAAAAGAACTCAGTGGCAACCACTCAGCATACCACATTTACTCTTAATACCTGAATCCGATTTAGAATTTAAAACACAGACCTGGTATTCGTGGTTTACCTTTACCCACTTGTTGTGCTTTACCCTTTGTTCTACCACATGACCTGCCCTGGTCCCATTACAGCATTTCTCTCTCTCTTTTTTTTTTTTTTTTTTTTTGTTTATTCATATGTGTATACAATGTTTGGGTCATTTCAGCATTTCTCTTTATTGTAAGTATTGTACTACTACTGTATTTGGTCTGGGAGATTTTTTTCTTTAACATTTTAGAAAGCCAACTTGATAATAAAGAATTTTACTGTTTTCCTGTTTTTGCTTTTCTTTTTCTTCTTTTTTTTTTTTTTTTTTTGGTGGCACTGAGGTTTGAACTTAGAGTACTTGCTAGGCAGGTACTCTACCGCTTAAGCCACTCCTCCAGACCATTGTTTTTGTTTTATTTAAGACAGAGTCTTGCTGTGTCACCCAGATTGGACTCAATCTCCCAATCCTCCTGCTTCAACCCTCTTAGTGCTGGGATTGCAGATGTACACCTCCCCGCCTGGCTAAAGTTTTGTAATTCTCATACTCACTAAAGGGCTACAAGTTACCTACACCCCTATAAACCATACTTCTGTCCAGACATTTAGTAATTAATGATGCCAGCAGTGTCTACTCTTCAAACATAAAAGATACCAACCAAAGTGGTTTAAATTAATATTACTGATAATACCTAGTATTGACAAGAATATGGAGTAACTGGAATTTTTTGCCCTGCTGAGAATAAAAATCAGTAAAACCTTGCAAAACTAACCACATTTACCAAAGTCAGAAATACTGTGTATAAAGCATATGACTCAGCAATTCCACTCCTTCGAGTATGTGCGACAGAAGTGGACATGTGTGCATAGAGACACAGCAAACAACCTGAATGATGATCAGCCATGCTGTGGACACATAAATTACGGTGTAACCTGCAGTAAAATACCTGTGAAGCAACTCCTGTACTTAAGAATATGGTTAGGGACTGGGTGTGGCGAGATTTGTCTATAATTCCAGCTGTTTGGGATTTGAAGGTAGAAGGATCAAGGTTCACGGCTACTTAACAGAAAAGCTGGAGATCGAACCCGAAAAAACAAAGTGAAAAAGCAAAAGGACTTGAAGTATAGCTCAAGTGATAGAGCACTTGCCTAACCAGCACAATGCTAAGTTCAGTCCCCAGTACTCCCCACAAAAAAGGGAAAAGAAACATGGTTCAAATTAAAACCTGGTATGGTAGAACCTGCCTGTAATCCCAGCACTTGGGAGGCAGAGGCAGGAAAATCAAGAGTTCAAGGCAGACTGAGCTATATAGTGAGATGCTGTCTGCAATAAAGAAAAAAAACACATGCACACAAAATTACTTTTAAATTCTCACAAAAGTGAAGTTGATAGTATTCTTTCACTCATTCCATGAAACACTGAGGCAGTCGTGTGATAGTGCTGCTAATATTTAACAATTAGAACACTCTGTAGGCTGTGATACAGCTCAGTGGTAGGTAGTATGTTTGTACCCGAGGCCCTGAGTTTCAACCCCAGCACTGCAAACAAAACAAAACACACCTGTGGGGAGCAGATTAAAGCCTATGAGAACTGGACACAAGCAAGGAGATGCAGTTAATTTCTTTTACCTATAGGCTGAGATAGGCACCCCCCTTCCCCCACCAACGAAACAGGGAAAGGCAGAACAGCTGGTCTCTTAAGTTCCTAAATAGCATTTGGAGAAGCAGGAAGGTAGGTTTCTCCTATTACAATATTATGCTCCGCCCCCCCCCATTGCTCCACCCTGTTTGCTGCTATAAAAGACCCCTGAAGGAGGAAGAGGTGCTTTTGCTTTTCGTGGCTTTTCCTTTTGGGCTTTTTCGCTTGGCTTTTAGCTTTTTGCCTTTCAAGATTGGGAAGAAGCTTTTACTTTAGGCTTTTTGGTATGGGAACCTTTTGGAAGGGAAAGGAATGTTGAGGGGAAAATGCTAAAGAGGGGTTGATAGAAAGTCTGCACCGAGAACTTTAACATAGGCTTCAGAAATCAAAGCTGGGAAAGAACCTCATACATCCGCCTTAGGAAAGCTAAAGCTAAAGAAACTCCAAAGAGAACACGGGACAGTGCACGGTGCAAGTGTAAGGACCAAGGCTTTAAAAGTTATGCAGATGCAGGTTGTAGGCGGGGCTCTTTGCGAGTTTGAGCACTAAGACTTTTGAGAGAGCTAAAGAGAGATGAGCAGTGCAAGCCTTGGGGCAAAAGACTTGAAGAGCAATTAAGCTAAGAATAATCTAAGAGCAAACATGGGACAGTGCGAGCCTAAGGAAAGAGGTTTTTTAATCAAGGTTTTAAAGAACTGCAAGGAGTAAGGCCTTAAAGAATCAAGATAGAGAAGCAATGAGGGTTGTGAGTCTCCAGCCGAGCGTACAACACACCTGACCCCAAATTTCTATCTATCTTGTGTCTTTTCTAAAATCTCCAGTCACCCCCAGTTAAGCCCAGTTAGGTCCAGTAATAACCGAGGAGAGAGAGAAAAAATTCACTCTAGCAAGGAGGGAGCGCCCCCTTCATAAACCCCCTAAACCCACTTTCTTTTTGGATTACCGTATTGACTGAACAGTCATTGCCCTTTTTTGCTAACTTTTTTCATTAAAAAAACAATTTAGTACCTGGGCATGGTGGTCCTTACTATAATCCCAGCACTCGGAAGGCTGAGGCAAGAGGATGAAGAGTTCGAGGCCAGCCTGGGCTACATAGTGAGTTCCAGTAAGACGACCTAGGAAATCTGAGACAAACCATATTCATGGTTGTAGTGGTTTGTATATGTTACAGATTCTATTGACATTGCTATTAGACTAATGAAAATTTGAATTTGTAATTACAGCTCCCCCAATTGCTTATGTTGAAAGGAACTCAGAACCCAGAAATGTGTTGCCTCTGGAGTAGTTCTAGACTTGCCCCTGAAGCTACACTATGTAGATAGTGTCTAGACACCCATAATATAGTGGATGTCCTTTGAAACATCTCCCCTAAGAAAAGTAAGCTTCAGTGGTTTAGGTCTGTTTTGTTTTCCCCGTTTATTAGGGGAGATTGCAAATGCAGTAAAAAGAGAGTCAAGAGTAAATGAATCCTCATGTACCCATCACTGTGTTTCAGCAATTATCAACATGGTTACCTATCTTCCTCCCATCTACCACCACACTGAGAATTTTTATTTGTTTGCTTTATGGTACTGGGACTTAAACTAAGGGCCTACACCTTGAGCCACTCTACCAGGCCCTTTTCGTGATGGGTTTTTTCAAGATATGCCAGCCCAGGCAAATAGTTGGTGAGGACCCCCCCTCACCACCACAATCTCAAATAACCAGAGCAAAACAGACTGGAGGTGTGACTCAAGTGGTAGAACGCCTGCTTTGCAAGCAGGAACTCATGAGTTCAAACCCCAGTCCCAACAAGCATAACAAAAATATTACCATATCACTACTAAAAAGCTTAACAAAAACTTTACTATGAAGAGTTCTTGGGGCTGGGGTGTAGTTTAGTGAAAGAGTAAGTGCTTAGCATGCTTGAGGCCTTGGGGTCAATCCCCAGCACCAAAAATTTTAAAAAACAAATAAAAATTTTATACATATTTTTCTCCTATAGTTAATTTGAACCAGAATCCAAATATGATCCATAGTTTGAAGTAGATTGATATAATTTAAGAATCTTTTATTTATTTCTTTATTTTTGGGACAAGATCTCACCATGTAGTTCAGGCTGGCCTTGAACCCAAGATCCTCCTCTTGAATGTGGGAATTATAGGTGTATAGCTACGTCTTCAGTGTTTTTTAAGTTCAAAATACTTTAATTCCCCCTCCCTTCTTTCTCTTTAGTTTATTGCTTAAAAAAGCTGATTTATCCTGTAGAAACTTTCAGTCTAGATTTTGCCGATTGAATCCTGAGTCCTCTGGGGTTTTATCAACTTCCTTTTGTAGAATTTTTATTTTATGTAAATTGGAACTTAGACCTAAGGACAGGTCTGGTCAGATTTGGGCTTAATTTTTTTTTTTTGACAAAAATACTTGTTAAAATGAAATTGTGTACTTAGCATGCTAACATAAATATATTTTTTGGCAAATTGTATGGGAAAAAGTAGTAAGGATTTTCAATAAATGTTTCTTACAATAGGATTTACTGTGACTATACAGAGTAAATTATTGACTTTCACAACCAGTTGTATGGCCTGAATGAGAGGGAGGAAAAAGTCTGCAATCATAATGACAGTGCAAAATTGTGTTTGTTTACAATCAGAGAGGGCCTTGAATTTTATGAGAATCTGTTTTATACTCTTGAGTTAATGGGGCCAGATATGGAGGTTCATGCCTAAAATCCCACCTCTCAGGAGGCTGAGGCAGATGGACCATGAGTTCAAGGCCAGGCTGGGCTACATGGCAAGACCATATCTCAAAAAACCAAAAGAAGGAAAAAGTTGATGGTTAACTCATATCAGATATCCAAGTACACAGTGACAAAGCACTTCAAAACTGCTGCTCTGATTATACAAGTTCAACTTTGCTTTACTGAGTGATGACATGTATTTTGTTTATAGTATTTCAGGTATGCACCTTGTCCTTTTTTTTTTTTGGTGGTACTGGGGCTTGAACTCAGGACCTATATCTTGAGCCACTCCACCAGGCCTTTTTTGTGATGATGTTTTTCAAGATAGGGTCTCATGAGCTATTTGTCCAGGCTGGCTTTAAACCGAAATCCTCCTGATCTCTGCCTCCTGAGTAGCTAGGATTGTAGATGTGAGTCACCGGTACTCAGCATCCTTCTTTCTTTCTTTCTTTTTTTTTTTTTTTTTTTTTTTTTGAGACAGGATCTCACTACGTAGATCCTCCAGTTTATATCCTCCTGCCTCAGACTCCCAAGTGCTATGATTTTAGGTGTGTACCACCACACTCACACAATTCTTGCTTTTTACTACATAATTGTATTAGATCATCTCATATGACTTGGTAAACTGTATGTACAACACCTTTCCTTTTTTCTTTCCAGCCAGGACTAAAAGAAGTGGTAGAATCCTGTCGAGGAAAAAACCTATTTTTTTCTACCAATATTGATGATGCCATCAAAGAAGCTGATCTTGTATTTATTTCTGTAAGTAGTTTCCTTAGCTGTGTGAATTTTAGTGTACTCTTGTCTGTATAAAAGTTTCATTGTTTAAGTTGCAATTAAGCAAGAGCATTGCTTAATGAAGAGAAGTCTAGGTCAATTGTGATTGTCATCTCATCCAACAATGCACCAAATCCTGTAGTTATCTGCTCATTCATGTAATTTCAATTCACTGAACAAGTAAACTCAAAGTTCTAATCTGAGAAGGAAATCAAGGGGAGAGAATATGGTTGATGGACTTCATGTACTTATCTGACGTAGAACAAATGAACCTCTTGCAGTTGCTTTAAGTCGGGCAGGGAGGGGGTTGAGGAGGAGACAGGATGGGGGTCATCCAACCAATGTACAATATAAGCCTAATCGGAATTGTCACTAATAACTGGACTGGGTGTTGTTCCCTGGGTTCGTGTCCTGGGCGCAGTCAAGTTTGAAGACTCCGAACAAGCAGTTAGGAGTTAAAGCAAGTTCATGCCACAGACCAGGAGTTAAGAATAAAGAAAGCACCCTGATGGGTGGGACCTAGTGAAAGAACTAAGCCAAAGGATGACTGAAGTCTAGGAGATAATACAGGCCATTGAATGGCTTAGCTCCAACTATTTTACCTTAAAACTGTATGTGTGATTGGTTGGCCCTGAGTCAGCCTCTCACTGAACTCAGCCACCTCTCTGTCCCTCTCCTTACTGAGCTGAGCATTACAAGAAGGTCTGGTCAGCTTACCCTGGCCTTGGAGCCCACATCCTGCATTTTCTTACTTTGGCTAGAGGCTTGTTATTTTTGTGAGAAACCTACTGTCTCTCACGCCCCCTTTGTATGTCTGTTTCTCAGGTGTCTCTCTCATCCAAAATGGAGTCACCTCTGTCATTGCTCAAATTATATCACTAGAATCCCTCCCCCGTATAATGACTATATCCTAATAAAAAATTTTATAAAAAATAGTAAAGTTCTAATCTGAGTTGGAGAACTCAGAAGTACTGGTACCATGTGAGCACATGATAGGCATGGATTTATCATCATTTCTTGTTTCTACTGGTTGGCAGAGGTGAGGTAAAGAGAATCAGTTTGCAGACATACAGGCATCTCCTATCTAAATACATTACATTCCAGTAGTCATTTTAAATTCATTGGCATTTGTTGGTTAGGTTATCAGACTAGCCCACAGATCCCTTCATCTCATGGCCTGTTATACCTTAAATTAATTTAAAAAATAAAATTTCCTACACACAAAAAAATAGAACCAACCCTTGGTACTCTAATTTTTCAGTATTTAAAGCAAAGCAAACTTATTTGTTCCCTCTACACAAATATATCTGTATGTGTGTAACAGTCCCGGCAACTGAGCTATGTGTTTTATAACTTAAAACCTTTATGGCCTTAGAAGTAAAGGGGATGTGAGTGCAGTGAGTTTTGACAGGGTCCCACGGGCAGGGAGAGGTAGATGCTGCTGCTGAATTGTGTATGACTCTGCTGATCATAAATCATTGAATAAGGGCTATTCTGAAATACGAACTCAACTGCACGAATTTGAGAATGTGTCTTTGTTAGGGGTTCAGTCTTCCTTTTTTGGTCTTCTTAATCACTTCACAAAAACTGAGGTAGCTGCTATTATTCACCTCCCCATTATTTAAGTATGCAGAGAGTTAGAGGCATAAAATAGGAGGAACTATTTTGGAGTAACTAGATACTTGGAGAAAAATCAAAGACACTACCTTAGTCCAGAACCTGGGGATTTTATTTTATTTTTTTGGCACTGGGGTTTGCTTGCTTGCTAGGCAGGTGGTCTACCACTTGGGACTCCACCAGTCCTATTTTGTGTTGGTTTTTTTTTCAAGATAGGGTCTCAAGTACTATTTGCCTGGGCTGGCTTAGAACCGAGATCCTCCTGATCTCTGCCTCCTGAGTAGTCAGGATTACAGGCATGAGCCTCTGGCACCCGACTGAACCTGGGAATTTTCTGTTTTAAAAAAGACATTTAAAACTAATCTGTCCTCAGGTGCTAGAATCCTACCTTAGGGTGCTCTGGCACAAATACTGATTTTACACTTGCCTCTTTACTGATTCAGCCAATGCAGCCTAAGCTTCCCTGACTCTAAGCTATCACTTTGAGTGCCTATTAGGTAAACTTTTTACTGGGTAACTCTCAGTCTACACTCCAGGAACTTTATTCTCTGGGTCAGTTTGTTTGTTTCCTTGTTGTATAATTTTTAATGTAATGTCAAATTAACGCCTCAAACTGAGGACAGTAAAATAATGATCCTCATTTATCCATCTGTTTTCAGTTGATCTTGTTTCATTTAAATCTTCTCTCCGGTGTTTGTGGTTGTTTATTTATTTGTTGTTTTTGTAGCTCAGCTGGTCTGGAACTGTTACTCCTCTTGCCTTAGCCTCCCAAATGCTGGGATCTAGGTATGCACTGCTCCACCTGGAGGGAATCAGGTTTCATCTGTTTTCTCAGAGCTCCTTTACTAGGGGAAGCTGTCTGATCATCTCCAACTCCAGCCAGCTTCACCTTGCCCCATTAGCTGTCTCTGCCCTTCTTTGGTCCCTCGTACCCTGCCTTCCATGTCTAAGAGATGTCCTAAGTTACTCCATGCATGTAAGCAACTTTTTCCTCCTTTTCAAACCTCAGTTCAATCTTCAAATTTTGATTTCTTTTGCTTGGACCTTTATTTAATCTCTCATTAGGTCATAAACTGGTCATGAGATGAGAATTGATGCTACTGAACTCCTAGTTCAAAAATTATTATGTGTGAGGTGTAGTGGTACATGCCTGTAATCCTAGCACTCAGGAGGCTAAGGCAGGGGGATTGTGACTTCCAGGCAGGGCATCCTGGGTTGCATAGCAATACCCTGACCAAAAACACCACAAGAAAAAGATTATACCTGTCCTTATTATATTTTAGACATTTCAAAGCACTTTAATTTTTGTCAGAGCACTGTAACACTCAGGAGTTAGTGTGTAGAGAGCACATTATCCTCAGTTTCCACTGAGCTGCCACCTTCTCCAAGGCCATATGACACCGCTAATCGGAAACAAAATGCCTGGGCTCTGGGCTCATGATTTATTTTTCTATTTTTCAAAAGAATCTGTGCACATACTATTCTGTGTCTTTAAGATGCTAGGTAATTTCTACCTTTAACGAGCTAAGAAAGCATTTGTGAATGAAACTAACAGTTTCAAAATGCTATTAATATCATGCTATAAAAATAAGGTATCAGAGAGGAGTTTAAAGTTTATTTTAAAGACTATGATACTGTTGTGTAAAATAAAGAAAAGAAAACTTTCATTTCAGACTGTACTTCAGAATGGAACCATCTCATTCCTTCATATCTCCCTAGGTTAGCTTGGAACCTACACACACGTTGTAGCTTTTAAACAAAATGTATTGAATGAGTTCTCCAGATGCTTCCAGATGTTTCTTCTGGTGATTGGGTTAGCAAATGTATTAATTCCATGGAGTAATGGAGAGTGAAAATCACACAACTGATGCTAGTTAACTTCTCACTTACCTGGTTAACTGGTAGTCCAGGGACCATCTTGAAATCACTGAATATCTCACTGCTGCTCTGGTCTTTATCCCATATGCTTTCATCAGGTAAACACTCCCACAAAAACCTACGGCATGGGGAAAGGCCGGGCAGCAGATCTGAAGTACATCGAAGCTTGTGCGAGACGCATTGTGAAGAACTCAAATGGGTACAAAATCGTGACTGAGAAGAGCACAGTCCCAGTGCGGGCAGCCGAGAGCATCCGTCGTATATTTGACGCGAACACAAAGCCCAACTTGAATCTACAGGTGCTGTCCAACCCTGAGTTCTTGGCAGAGGGGACAGCCATCAAGGACCTCAAGAACCCAGACAGAGTGTTGATTGGAGGGGATGAGACCCTGGAGGGCCAGAAAGCTGTGCAGGCCCTGTGTGCTGTCTACGAGCACTGGGTTCCCAAGGAGAAGATCATCACCACTAACACTTGGTCTTCAGAGCTTTCCAAACTGGTGAGTGCCTGGCTCTCAACTCTCCATTAAATTCGTTCTTACTGTTTCTGTGACAGGGTCTCACTGTATAGGTCAGGCTAGTCTGAACTTGGGGTCCTTCTGCCTCCCCCCTCTCAGGTTCTGGAATTACAGGTGTGAGCCACTACACCTAGCTTGTTGTTTTGAGGTGGGATCTCACTGTTTTGCTCAACTCCTGTGCTTGAATGATCCTCCTGCCACAGCCTCCTAGGCGGTGTCTGCAGGATCAAGTCACTGCACCTGGCTTACTCCATTAAATTTAAAGCCAAGTGTTTATTGTTTATGTCTTTTGAGTCTGACAAGTTTACACAGATAGTTTCTTCTTTTGTTTTGTTTTTTGAGATAGGGTCTTGCCATGTAGTCCAGACTGGCCTGGAACTGTATGGGATTACAGACATGTGCAACCATACCTTATTAGATAGTTTCTGAATATTAATAAAGGATTATACTTTTGAAGATAGTATTCTTGCTCATTCAAATTATGAAATAATTTTCACAAAGAGGATCAGAGTATAAAATAGTCTAGAAAATTCTAAAATTTTAATCAAATTAAGCCAACATGGAAGACACACAAAATAGTAATTTGTTCATTTTAGTTGTTTTTTAGTGTTCGTTGTTTTCTTTTTGACAGTTCTGGGATTTTAATTTAGGGCATAGCAATTGCTAGGTAGGCTTTTTACCATTTGCACCAGGTCCTACCCCTACGAGTAATTTGTTCACCATTCTCTCCCTTTTTATCCTTTTGTTGATCATCTGTTTTTTCTAATTTAAAACATGTTTCTTGGCTGTGAGCATACCATACATGGTAGAGTGCTTGCCTAGCAAGCTCAAGCCTTGGGTTCAATCTCTGGCCCCAAAAAAACAAAAATAAAAACAATTCCTCCTAGCACATGCTCCTCCAGTTGAACCTTTGGTATCTTTGGTATCTTGTATTTCTCCTCAGTAGTTTGCATCTGCACAGTGAAATATAATACTGGTGTATATAAAATTGATATTTTGACCGGGTGCCAGTGGCTCACACCTATAATCTTAGCTACTTGGGGGGCTGAGATTGGAAGGATTGAAGTTTGAGGCCAGCTCAGGCAAATAGATCGTGAGACCCCCATCTCCAAAATAACCAGAACAAAATGGAGTAGAGGTGTGGCTCAAGCAGTAGAGCATCTGCTTTGCAAGCAGGAAGTCCTGAGTTCACATCCCAGTCCCACCAGACAAAATTTGCTGTTTTGGCTCATCATAACTGCCTCCTTTTTTTCCTCAAGGCAGCGAATGCTTTTCTTGCCCAGAGAATCAGCAGCATTAACTCCATCAGCGCTCTGTGCGAAGCGACAGGAGCCGATGTGGAAGAGGTAGCAGCAGCCATTGGGATGGATCAGAGAATTGGCAATAAGTTTCTAAAAGCCAGCGTTGGTAAATGAAACTTTTCCCTGTGTAATGTGGGCTCATTTAGCTAGATTTCTAACTTTAAGGAAGTCCTTTTTTTTTTTTTTTTTTCAATTTACCATCCTTCAAACAGGAAAAGATTCTGTTACACATGTGTCCTTCAGCCTACCAGGGACATTCTGCGTGAGACAGTGATCACCTGAGTGATTAATAATGCTTGAGTAGTAGCAGTGTTTTGGAAGGAGACAGCAGTAGTTTGCAAAGCCACACAGGACAAAAATAACAGCTAATTTAAATGAGAAATGAATTTCCCTATTGCTTATTTTTCCTACTAATGTATTTTTGGAATGTGTCCTGGTAAAATTCAGTCAGCCCTCATTATCTGTGGATTCTGTACTTGTGAATTTGCCTACTCACTAAAACATATTGATAACTTCCATCTCAATTGTTCTTGGTACAATTACAATTCTCCAAGACACTGAACAGTGTGAAATTTGAGTCACCAGAAGCACATGTTAGCCAACCGAGGCTGAACAAGACAATGGCTTTGCCTTCCTGTTCCAGTTCTCACACAGTAAACAAGTCTCTTTTTTAGGATCTAGTTAGTGCCATGTTTTTAATATTTTTGTACTTTTTGTTGGTGATTTTACCATTTCAGGTGGCCCCCAGGCATACTGCTGGTCATAGGTGCAGGAAGGCTGTGATGGGCTGCCTGAAAATGTGAAAATGTGTGGGTTAGATAAGCTTTGTTCAGGAATGAGTTATAAAACTGTTCGTCTTGAATGCAGTGTCAGTGGTTCAATAATATGTTAAATAAGATGGAATTAAATATGTAAGAGGAGGTTATATATTGATCAGTTGACCAAAATATTGTGAGCAAAAGCTTGCAGGAGTTGGTGGAATGACTCATATGGCAGAGTGCCTGCCTAGCAAGCATGAAGCCCTGAGTTCAAATCCCAGTATCACCATTAAAATAAAAAAATTTTTTTTTAAAGCTTGCAGGAACCTAATGCTGTGTTTTGCTTAGGAGCAACACTTTTGCCAATTCAGTGTTTTGGTAACTTGAATATAACTCACCAAAAATGAGAATTGACCATATTTTAGGATGTAAGTTAGTAAGGTTGATATAACATTCAATAGACTATTTTACAGATTAGGCTATATATGATCCTTCTGGTATTTCCACACCTTGAGCTTGCGAGGCAGGGGCTCTGCCGCTTGAGCCCCTCTGCCAGCTGGGCTATGTGTCATTTCCCAATACTGCTTTCCATGACCTTTTCCATCTTTCATTTTGATGTTTTCTTCTAGCTAGGATTTAATAAAAATGGCTACTACTTACTGCAGGCATATTATATACCAGCACTGCACACATCTCAGTTAGTCTTCATAACCCCATAGGAAGGCACTGTTACCTCTTTTTGAGAGTAGATTCAGGCTCAAGGAAATTTTACACCTTGCTCAAAATCATACAGCCAGTGAAAGGCTAGCTTTTCTGCCTGGCAAAGCCTTTACCATTCTACACCGCAACCTGAATTGCATTAGATGAAGGGTAAGCAACAGGGCAGCCCTCCATCCACCCCGAAGCTTGTTTTTGTCATGCCCTTGAGTTTCCTGTTATGTTTGACTGCTTTTTTATTGTTGTTGTTGTTGTTGTGATACTGGGGTTTGAACTCCGGGCCTACACTTTGAGCCACTCCACCTGCCCTTTTCTGTGATGGATTTTTTCTAGATAGGGTCTTGAAAACTTTTTGCCGGGACTGGCTTCTAATTGAGATCCTCCTGATCACTGCCTCCTAAGTACCAAAGATTACAGGCGTGAGCCACTGGCGTTCAGCTCTGAGACTGCTTTTGAGCTACAGTGACCAAGATGAATAATTGCAGCAAAAGAATGTATGGCCCACCAAGGCTGAAATATTTACTATCTGGCCTTTTTACTTTTTTAACCAGTGTTATGGGCAGGTGAGCATAGCTCCAGCTGTCTTGATTTTTGCCTTGCTTTGAGAGAGTTCAGGCAAGAAGAGAGGCAAATGAGCAAAACGCATAGTTTAGTAATTGGGCTGGAGGCATGGCTCAAGTGGTAGAACTCCTGCCTTGCAAGTGTGAATACCTGAATTCACACTCCATACTGGCAACATTTATTAGAATAGAAAGATACTTTCAAAGGTGAAGGTGGGTCGTCTCAGAATGAGAAGTGGAGAACAGTTATGTCCACCTTGGCACAGGTTTTTATTGAAGTATAAGGGACTTGGAGCATCAGGTTTCACCCCATGACCAGCCTGCAGGAAATGACACAGAAATTACAACACGTGTTGCTGGGCACAGTGACTCAAGTCTAATCCCAGCTATTTGGGATGCAAGGATCAAAGTTTGAGGCCAGCTCCAAAAAAAGTTTGCAAGACCCCCATCTCAACCAATAGCTGAGCACATTTGTGTGTGCCTGTCATCCCCAGCCACACTAGGAAGCACAAGTAGGAGAATCACAGTTTGGGCATAAAGTGAAATCCTATCTCAAAAATAAGCAATGCAAGCCAGGCACTGGTGGCTCATGCCTGTAATCCTAGCTGCTTAGGAGGCACAGACATCAGGAGGATCTCGGTTTGAAACCAACTCTGGGCAAATAGTTCACAAGACCCTATCTTGGACAAACCCATCACAAAAAAAGGGCTGGAGGAGTGGCTCAAGTGGTAGAGCACCTGCCTAGCAAGTGTGCGGCCTTGAGTTCAAACCCCAGTGCCTCCAAAAAAGTAAAAATAAAAACCAATGCAAAAGGTCTGGTGGTGTGGCTCAGTAGAGTGCCTGCCTGAGTTGTTCAACCCCCAGTATCAACACCCAAAAAATAAAAGAAGAATTATGACATGTCTCAAGAATCATTTTGCGCATGTGGTTATCCATGACCACCTAAGAAAAACTCACAGAGAGGGGAAATCTGTAATCAGATATTAATCACCCAAAGGTGACTTTCTTTCACTCCCAACTAGTATGAGCTGGGAGCTCCCAACTACCTGGGTGGTAGTCCATTGGCAGCCATTTCCTCTTTTTCTCTAACCGGAGAGGATAACATATGTACCTGTTAGGTAGCTGATAGTTTTAGCTCTGGAGAGCGATGTGTTGCTAGGCATGAGCCAAACACTCCCTTATGTTTTCTTGGCTTACTGTTTATGTTTACCTGCTCCCCAACGTTTCCCCCCCTCAAAGGCTGGAGGCCCCAAGGGATCCCCCATTTTAGTTCCCTTTGCGTATCCCTGTTGCTCTTGTCTAGCTGCTACATATCAGTGGACTGGGATGTGAATTCAGGCCTTGCACTCGTGAGGCAGTTGCTCCACCACTTGAGCTATGCTTTCCTAGCCCTTTTTTGCCCTAGTTATTTTTTTTGGATAGGGTCTCTTCTTGCCCAGGGCAGCCTTGGATCTTGATGGTCCTACTTTTGCCTCCAGCATAGCTGATATTACAGGCACCAGCCACCACTTTTGTCCTCACTTTTTAGGCCTGATCCTCCTTATCGCCATCTTCTGAATAGCTGGGATTTATCTGGTCCTTTATATAAAAGTTTGCCATCCTTATGGGAGAGTAAAAGATATAGGCACTCATATCTGATGGGTGAGGAAACAATAGAAGGTAAAAGAAAAGTCAGTTGGAGCCATAATGAAATGTATTAGAGTTATTTGGAAATTTTTGAAGAGTTGATTAGTTGCCTGTACTTTTTGCACAATTTATGAATCCACTAATTTTCTGATATTTGAGTCTATTAGAAATCTTAATATAAGCCTGGTGATATAGTAGCATAGAACTTGCCATGTGATTCAGTACCTGGCTCTTACATGATAATACTACCAGTTTTTTCTGTCCTCAGGTTTTGGTGGGAGCTGCTTCCAAAAAGATGTGCTGAACTTGGTTTATCTCTGCGAGGCTCTGAATTTGCCGGAAGTAGCTCGCTATTGGCAGCAGGTATAAATCTTTATAGTCGATAACTTCGATTAGATTCTGATTAAACACATCACTCTTTGTGAAGTGTTCTTGATGTAATTTATTCCAGGAACTCAATCAATTTACTTCTTTTAGATTTATTTACTGGGTGTCCTTAATTATAATTATCTTGAAAGGCATAAAATCAAACTAAAGAAAGAACCTGTAGTGTAATGCTTTCAAATGGTTTGCATCCGTTTTACTTTTTTTATCTCTTTCAGAGTCACAGCTAAAATTAGAAACCCTTCCCAGTGTGGGAGCATTGACGAGCATTGACTGGCTGCTCACTCTGTTCTGGGGACCTTGCATGCAGTCTCTCATTTAGTCCTACTCACTAACATTTTTCTCTATTTTTAGATGTGGCAATTGACACAGTAGAATTAAGAAATTTTCCCAAGGTGAAAGGCAGTATATATGCCTTTCCCAAATATTTTTCCCCTGAGTTTATAATTTTTCAGATTTCAGCAATAGATATGGGCTGAACTCTAAGGAACAGCTCACCTTTTAGGGAAAACCTGCATTCTTTGTGCCATGTCACTCAATCCACTCAATTCATTGTGTGTCAAATGCAGAGAAAGTCTTGATTTTTTCAACACTTAGGGTTCATTCATTTTCCAACCTCTCAAGGTTTGAGATGGTTCCCAGGATCTTAAGGCCTTTAAAAAGTCTCTTTACGCTGACCTTGCCACCAGCCTAAACTTGAGATTAGGTGATTAGAGACTCTCGCCCTTAGAACATTTAGTTAAAAACCTTGTCAAATGTATGTGCTCTTAACGGTTTCTCCAGAGGTAGGTGTAACTCTGCATGGCTTTTTGTTTGTTTGTTTGGTGGGCTGAGGTTTCCAACTCTGAGCTTCATGCTTATAAAGTAGGTGCTCTTGAGCCACATCGCCAGTCCATTTTGCTCTGGTTATTTTGGAGAGGGGGGTCTTACGAACTGTTCGCCTGGACTGGCCTCGAATAGTGATCCTCCTGATCTCAGCCTCCCTAATAGCTAAGAATATAGGCATGAGTCTGTGGCACCAGCTTTGAACATTGTTTGACTGTTCCCTGATCCTTTTCTTCTCAAATTGAATTTTGGCATATGAGGGAGTACTTTGACTGCCTATAGCATTGTTTCTCCAGTGTTTTGAGACATTAGCAAAGGAGAACACTGTTTTCTATGTGCTTATTTAGGTTGGCCTCAGAGCTGGATCACAGATGTCCTCAGAGTTAAAATATAGCTGTGCCCCCGATCTTTGCATCCACCCCAGTCGGATGCAAGGTAAAGTGACTCAAGTGAAAATAAACATTTTTAGGAAGGCTTGAAGTAAAGGAATGGAGGTTCTTTTTATTTTTTAAGCTATAGACAGCAAAGTGTTTGGTTAACATTTGTCTTGTGTGAATGTATAAGCCTTATTTGTGGCATATCATTCACCATAAAACTCTGAGCAATGTATGTACCAGGCTGTACTTTTTTAAACTAATATTGCACAATTGTACATGTCATTTCAGGTCATAGACATGAATGACTACCAGAGAAGGAGGTTTGCTTCCCGGATCATAGACAGTCTGTTTAATACAGTGACTGATAAGAAGATAGCTATTTTGGGGTTTGCATTCAAAAAGGACACTGGTGATACAAGGTATCAGTTCTTAACTTTTCAAATCCTGTTAGTGTTAACTCGTTATCATCCTGCTCTTTTTTTGAGATATGGATTCACTGTGTAGTCTGGTCTGACCTTCAGCTGGATCCTTCTGCCTCAGCCTCGGTAATTCTGGGATTACAGACATGCACACCATGCCTAGCTTTATCCTGATCTTTTGGTTGGTGGATGTATATGTAGAAATATGTGTGTATGTGTGTATAACTAACTGTACTTGCAATAAATAGGACATGTCTACGACGAGGTGCCAGAAAGGATATTAAGAAAACTTCTGAGGCATTCTAACATCCATATAAAAAACATCCATATTCTTACCACTCAGCCAGCTTAAGAAATATAGAGTCTTACCTGGATCTTCAAATCCCTGGTATAAGAATATAATGCCAAGGCCTGACATAGTGTCAAATGCCTGTAGGCCCAGCATTCGGGAGGTATAGCCTGGGTGATCGTGAGTTTGAGGCCAGCCTGGACCGCATAAGAAGACCCTAGCTCAAAAAAAGAAAAACAAGAAAGTAGAATATAGCAGAGCAATGGAATAAAATGCCACCTAAAGCAGTACGATTGTCTTCCATCAGAGAGTCCTCCAGTATATATATCAGCAAGTATCTGATGGACGAAGGTGCACACCTCCATATATACGATCCCAAAGTGCCCAGGGACCAAATAGTTGTGGATCTTTCTCATCCAGGTGTTTCAGAGGATGACCAAGGTAAGGCTGTGGGTCTCATGACTCGTTTTGTATAGAGACCCCAAAATGGGTTATTCTCTAGAAACCGTTGGTGATTTATTATATGATTGGGATGCCTTCTATCCAACCTTATTTCTCCTAAATTAAACTCAGACATTATCTCCTCAAATTTGATTTGAAGTGATCAGCTGCGGGTTTGTGTAAGTCCAGGAAATTTTCCAGGGCCTGGGGATGTAGCTCAGTGGGACTCCACAAAGCCCCAGGAGGTCCAGGGAGATGCTGTGGGGCCAGGTTTTGGCTGCTCTGAACTCCCCCTCCCCCCGCCAATCCCTTCAGGATTACTGATCTCTTGTAACCCTAGTCATTGCTGTTGTCACAGTGTCCCGGCTTGTGACTATCTCTAAGGATCCATACGAAGCGTGTGACGGTGCCCATGCTGTTGTTATTTGCACTGAGTGGGACATGTTTAAGGTGAGATGACAGAGTGTTATTAATAATAATTCTTGAGAAAAAAATCCCAAAGGTGTTTTGTGTCAGCTGGGTTGGGTCCATATTCTTGTGTGCGTTCTGACTGTTCCTGGGTGCGTGTTTTACAGGAGCTGGATTATGAACGCATTCATAAGAAAATGCTGAAGCCCGCCTTTATCTTCGATGGACGGCGTGTACTGGATGGGCTCCACAGTGAGCTACAAAACATTGGCTTCCAGGTGATCATCATCCCGAACTGCTTTTCTGTTTTGTTTTGTTTTTTTGCATTACTGGGGCTTGAAGTCAGGGCCTTCACCTTGAGCCACTCCACCAGTCCTATTTTTGTGAAGGTTTTTTTCAGGATAGGATCTCGAGAACTATTTGCTCTGGCTGGCTTCCAACCTCGATCCTCCTGAGCTCTGCCTCCTGAGTAGCTAAGATTACAGGCGTGAGCCACCATCATCTGGCTGTTTTCTGTTTTTGTTTTGGGTTTTCTTTTTCTTATTACACCCATTGTGTGGGTCTTAGAGTTTTCATATTTTCTCATTGTGCAATATCATAACTGAGATGGAAGCTCTCTGAGAAGTCTCTACAGGGTTTTTTTTTTACTCCTTCCCACATTCATGATGTAAAGATCCTTTAGTCTTGGGTCTCCTTCATGGTAGCCAGGAGGGCAGCCTGTCACATGAAAACAGAATGTGCCCTGCCTTACCTCAAATCCTAAAGGTCAAGTTAATGCGTTACTTACCATATGTCATTATAACTGGTGTCTGCTGTTATTCCCACTGAGGGGATTCCCATGTTGTTTTCTCTGACCCAGCGAGGATCCGGGCAAGGGGTAGGGTTGACCGTGGTGATGATGGAGGAAGTGCTCCACGGTGACAGCACTGTCATCCCCACATGAGAACAGCTACCATCCATGACTCTTGAGTACCCTCAGAAATTCAGGGGCCTTGACCAATCAACCAGTGCTCATCCTATACCTTTTGAAAGCTCAGCTGCCCAGTGCTGAGAGGTCTGAAGTGAAGAGTATGGGGTCTCCATGGGACCCGCCCTTTCCTCATTTAAAGTTTTGTCAGTCACAGAACCTTTGAAACACTGACAGGTCTCTGCCCAGAACAGTACATTTGTATGTGGCATCTCTTTCAGTTCTACTAGTGGTCCCACAAACACTAACAAGTGACTGCTGGTCACTCTAGAGATGAACCACATTTAGTCTATTGAAAGTGTACTCCTTTTCTAATAAATGTTACTGTCACTTTCACTATTTAAAAAAAAAAAAAAAACAGTGTGGCTGCCATCTACCTTCTCAGAGCAGTGTGCACATGGGGATGGAGTCTGGGGAGGTGGGCAGGTTAGGGAGGATAAACGAATGTGCCGGGGGATTGCTGTCAGCATGGTGGAGAAGCAGCAGTGTTTAGTAGATGGCTGTGTGCATTTCCTTACCCCAAGCTGACTTGAAGAGATATCAGTAAGGCCTCATCTGCTATTAAAAAACACAAATCTCGTTTTCTTTGCTGCTCACCAGCTTTTTGAAGGTCCTCTGACTTAGAATGCAGTGTCCATTTCTCATTTATGAGACATTGAGTCAGATGACTTCCTTTTTTCTATTAACTTTCTCATCAGTGACCTTGGGACTCCTCTGTGCCACCCCTCCTTAGTGAGTAATAACATGACTCTTTTTCCCAGTTGTAACTTAAACTCAGGAATGTTATTTTTAAAAGGTTATTTCCATGGCATAGACATATTGTCTCTGATTCCTGTTTTACTCCTCAGGGGGAAAGAGACATAGAAATACATACTTAAAGTAATTTCGAGGACTGGAGGTGTGGCTCAAGTGATAGAGCACCTCTTTGCAAGTGAGAAGCCCTTGCAAAGCCTAGTCCTACCAGAGAACAAATAAACAAAACAGTAATTTTAAGAGGCCAGGTGTGATAGTGTATGTCTGCAAGATTTTTTTGAGATTTTGGAAAAGTTAACTTTTCCTAATAAGGGTGAAAAAATCAATTAGAAGAGTTGGAGGTGTGGCTCAACGGTAGAGTGCATTCAATCCCCAGCACTTTGCAAAAACATAAGTAAGCTGCAAAAACGTAAGTAAGCAATTAGGAACAGAATCATTACAAAAGAAGAATGAATGTCACTAAGCAGAAGACAATGGGCTGACATAAAGCAGAAGCTCTTTTTCTATGGTGTGAGTCAGAATTACTTATATCTGCTATAGAAGGAAAATAAACTTGCCTTTTTCGTTTTCTTTTTTTTTTGGCAGCACTGGAGTTTGAACTCAGTGCTAGGCAGGCACTTTTACCACTTGAGCCACTTCGCCAGCCCCTTTTCTTGTGTGTTAGGTATATTGGAGGCAGGGCTTCACGATTTGCATGGGCTGGCTTTGAAGTCAATCCTCCTCATCTCTGCCTTGAGTAGCTAGGATTACAGGCATGAGACCTGGAGCCGAGCCAGAAGTAGCATCTTTAATGATAAGATTGATTGCTGAGGCAGAGGGATCACAAACTCAAGGCCAGGCTGGGCTACATAGCAATATTGTCTCAAAACAAAACAAAAGAAAAGCAAAAACAGTCGATGCTTTGGAACACATGGACTGTGCAAAATAAGAACTACCACGCACTGAAGGCTGACTTGTTGCCATGACTTTTTGAGGTCGATGGTACTAACACCATTTGTAAGTGAAAAAGACCTAGAGAGTTTAAGTATCATAGCAAATGTGTCAGGATTCCACTGGCTACTTTCAGATGCTGAAGCCTGCATTGGTAAGAACTATGCTGTTTCAACTTCTGCAAGGTTTTTAGTATAAGAGAAATGGAATATTTGCAAATTCTTACTTTACAGATGTGCACATCACATTGTAAAGGGAAACACACTAGATTTCCTGGGCATTAGTTTATTTGCTTGTCATTGAACATGTAAGGGGAATGTGAGAGGGAATATGAACTTCCTGGAATCTGGTCTGGTAATGGCTTTCATACATGTTACTAAAAACAATAATGCCGTATGGTTCTATACTCTGATTTTTTTTTTTTTGCACAACTAGTGTTTGACCTCAGGGCCTTCCACTTGGTAGGGCAGGCACTCTGCCACTCAAGTCACTCTGCATCGAAATAGGGTCTCTCAAACTATTTGCCTGGGCTGGGTTTGAACCATAATCCTCCTGATCTCTGCCTCCTGAGTAGCTAGGATTACAGACATGGGCCACTGGCACCTGGTTTTCTACTCTGATGTTTGAGAGGGTCCAGGGTGGGACTTGGGAAGAGTGAGAGCATCTGGATAATATGAAAAATGGGGTGAAGATTGATTCTAGAAAAAAAAAATACAGAAGGAACCAAAGATCTCTCATGGCAACTGAGACAACTTGAGAAACCCTTCCTGCTATGAAAAGGATAATAATTTTTATTTTCTTCTTCATTACACTACATTACAAAGTTCTAAGATATGTGCTGTGATTATTAATAATTCTCTTTTCTTAATCTTTTTTCCCCTTCAGATTGAAACAATTGGCAAAAAGGTGTCATCCAAGAGAATTCCATATGCTGCTTCTGGTGAAATTCCCAAGTTTAGTCTTCAGGACCCACCTAGCAAGAAGCCCAAAGTATAGACACTGCCATTTGTATTTGTGATCATTTTGGTACTTCAGGATAGCAAATATCTATCTGATGTTAAGTGGAAAATGAACCAAGTGTTTTTAAGCAAGCAAAATTATTTTTTTAATCCTCAAATTTATACTAGCTACATGGTGTTAGCAGATCTGGTAATCATGAATCTAGAATATTTTTTACATATTTTTATATTATTGCTAGCTCAGTAATTGGATGAGTGGAAAATAATCATGTTGGTTTTAATGGTATCACTTTTTTGTAAAAGAAAAAGTAAACTTAAGACATTTTTATTTTATAAATTGTCCATAGGCAGCACTTACCTTCATTGGAAAGGGAAAGGCATGCTAGTTTTCCTGGGCCTTGGTTTATTTGCTTATCACTAAATATGTATTTTGAAAGCATGCAATTATCATGTTACATAGCCTCTGCAAGTATGGTTAAAGGAGTCCAGGCTGGCCTGAAACTTGGAATCCTCCTGCCTCAGCATCTCAAGTGTTGAGATTATAGGTGTGGGCCACCATGCCTGGCTCCTTTTATTTTAATGGGATATGTCACTGACTTTTAATCCAAAAAGATCATCACTGTGTATTTCCAATTTTTCATTTAAAGAGTGTTATCTTTTTATTTTTAAAAAATTGACTTGAGGGGAAAATCAGCAATAGGGTCTATTTTTCTCCTCATTTCTTAGCTATCGTCATTGATCACTACTTTTGCAGTCTGAGTCAATGTTTATCACCTTTATTTTGCATTTTTATTTGTATTCTTAATTCCAATTTTTTCTTTAAGAAAACCAATAAAATCTCATATGAAATAAAAGATTTTACAAATTATGTTTGGCTTAATTCTAAAGTAGGAATTTCTCTGTGTGTATTCTTACCTGTCCTTGTTTACTTTTATATTTGTAGTGGTGGTTTTCACTTGTGGTTGATTGTTGGAAATTCAGATGTTCATCTTGTGCTGTGCTCTGCTGAGAATGTACAAACTGCTTTAAGCAGACACAGGTCTCATCCTTTAGGAATGCTGTGGTTCAGTAAGAAGGGGGAGTCGGGTACAACGATGAAGACAGACATCTGCACAGATAGTACATAAACCACCCATCCTGCATCAAGGACTGAGAGGTAGTAATTTTTGTCATGGTTTAAGTCACTAACGAGTCATCACAGCCTGAAAAAATGACTGCTTTTTAGAGAAAAGTCATTGGTTCTTTAAATGATGCAAGAAAGGGAGGGAATTTAGCAAATAAACTGGGAATTAGCAAGCTGCAGCTCACAAGCCAACTCTGGCCAGCCATATGTGAACTAGGAACCATGACATTTCACATGGTTATGTAAGTCTCTACACAATGGCCACAATTTTGCCTCTTGACCCACCAAGCATAAAAGCATTTCCTATGTGGCCTTTTAAAAAAAATCTGCAGGAGCCTGGGTGTAGCTTAAGTGGTAAAGACTCTTGTCTAGTAAGCACCCTGTCTTAAAACCCCAGCACTGCCAAAAACATTTAAAATTAAAAAAAAGAAAAAGTTGCCAGGCGCCAGTGACTCATGCCTGTAATCCTAGCTACTTGGGAGGCTGAGATTAGAAGGATCAAGGTTTGAGGCCAACCTGGGCAAATAGTTCATGAGACCCCATCTCCAAAATAACAAAAGCAAAATGGACAGGAAGTATGACACAAGCAGTAGAGCACCTGCTTTGCAAATAAGAAGCCCTGAGTTCAAACCCCAGTTACACCCAAAAAAATTTTTTCAGACTCGAGAAAAACATGAGTTTGACCATAAGATGTGAGTCCTTACTCATAGGATATGGAAGAATAACCTTACTAATTAGAATTCCTTTATATTTCTGCTTGAAGCATTCCTTTTGTGTGTTTAATAATTTTATATTCTAGTAACAGAACTATATGCCCAAAGATGTCTTGCTAAAGCAGATAGAATTGAGGGACTGGTGGAGTGCTCAAGTGGTAAGAAGTGCCTACTTAGCAAACGTGAGGCCCAGAGTTCAAACCCAGCGCTGCCAAAAAAAAAAACAGAATTGGGCACTTGTTTTAAATTTCAAGATGCTTCAAGGTCTAGAACTGAGAAATGATTTTTTTGTTGTTGTCACTCGTACTAGAGTTTTAACTCAAGGCAACCTTGCTTGCTAGGCAGGTCCTCTACCATTTGAGCCCCAGCCCCGAGGAAGTAAATGATTGCGTGTGAAATGTAGTTCCTGGTTAAAAAGGTAGAAGAATTGGAAAGTGGAGGAGAATGAGCCTCATAAACTTGCCGTCTATAAAGGGGATGAAAAGCCAGTAACTGTGCATGTAACAGGAGAGTTAAAGACAATGGTTTTGTTTTTGGGTTTGTTTTTAAAGAAAAGCGATAGGAAGTTTCTATGTTTATTTTCTAAGATTTTGGAGAAGGGGGTAGGAGTCATGAATATTGCTGAGACTTAACTAGCACTTAAAATTGAAAATAATACATGGACGTAATTAAAAAAAAAAAAAAAGGGCCTCACTATGTAACCCAACTGTCTTGAAGTTTTAGTCTGCCTCAGCCTCTCCTGCTGGGATTATAGGCTTGTAACACCTCACCCAGCTTTCATTTTTTTGGGGGGAGGCGGGAAGTACTAGAGTTTGAACTCAGGCTTGATGCTTGAGCCACTCCACCAATGCCTAGCTTTCAAATAGATTTTTTTAAAGGGTATATTAAAAAAGTAAAATATCAGCCAGGGGTGGTGGTACACTGCTATAGTCCCAGCTACTCAAGAAGCCTGGGGGCAACAGAGTGAGGCCCTGTCTAAAATAATTTAAAACTAAAGGGTTTGGGTGAAGTGGCAGAGCTCCTGTCATGAGGCACTGCTTTTGATCCCAGCACCACAAAAATAAAAATAAACCCAGTTTTGTATATTAAATCTCCCAGTTTATAAGTATTGGCACAATCTTAAAAAAAGTGTTACAGAACAAACAAAAACATCACATTGTTTAAAGGCCAACCTATATCAAAGGCTGCGAATTTTTTTTTCTTTTAAAGATTTACTTTTGGGACTGGAGATGTGGCTTAAGTGGTAGAGGGCCTGTTTTGCAAAAGTGATGCCCTGAGTTCAAATCCCAGGTCCACCAAAAAAAAAATAAAGTAAAAAATAACACTTTTGACTTAAAAAGTTTAAAGAATAGTACAAATAATTGTTTTACCTTCACTTCTATTCCAAAAATTAATACTATGTTGTTTTCATCTTTCTCTTCTACACTGACACATTTTTAAACCTTTTAAAGTTTAAACAAAATATGAAAAAAAAAAAATAAAAGTTTCTATTTGCTTCTGTAATTACTTCCCTGAATCATGTGAAAATAAGTTGCCGACATATGCCCTTTTGCCTGTTTTCTGTTTTTATGCACCAGGAATTCGGGCACAGTTTGGCTGAATGACTCAGGGTCAAAGTCTCTTGACTTTGCAAACAAAATGTCAGCTAGAGGGCTGGGGATGTGGCTCTAGTGGTAGAGCGCCTGCCTAGCAAACAAGGCCCTGAGCCAGGAGAGGGCAAGACAGAATCGCCAATGTCATTTACGATCTAACATCAGAAGTCACACTCCCAACAATTCTGCACCCTCCTACTGCTTAGCCAGATAGCCCTGCTCAGTGTCTAAGGGGATTCCAAAAGGGCATGACAGCAAGGGGTGAGAGTCACTGGGGGTCATCCTGGGGGGTGGCCACCATAGCACATCTCCTAAATAGGAAAGCATTGTACATGCATTGTCAAAAATCAGGAAATTAACATGGACTACTGTTAACAACAGACCATATTCAGATTTCATCCATTGCCCCAATTATATCCTTTATAACAAAAGAAAGTCAAACCTTGCCTCTTTATGATTATTCTCCTTTGATTACTTTTCTTTCATACTCCTAACATTGTCACTTTTTGACATGCAGGCCAGTTACCTTTTAGAATGCCCTTCATTTGCATTTGTTTGATGTTTCTCCAAGATTAGATTACAAGGTTCAGTTTTAGCAAGAATTCCACATAAATGTTCTATCCTCAGGAGGTACATGAGGTCAGGAAAGGACAGAAGGAATGTTCTGTCTTTTTTAGGAGGAACATGAGGTCAGTTTGTCCCACTGCTGGTGATGTTACTGGATTATTTGGTCAGGGTGGTGTCTAACAGGTTTCTCTGCTATAGAACATAAAATTGTTACTCTTCAAACTTTCATCCACTGCTTTTAGCTTCTACTGAGTATTCTGATCATGACAATCATAGCTGCCAGCTTTTGATCCCAAGGCTGAATCTTGTGTTGTTCAGTTAGTAGCAATGGAACCTTGGCCCAGTCAACCTTTCTTAAGTGTTGTTTTCTTCCTATTTCAATGATAACTCAGTACATACATCAGAAATTAGTTTGTGAAGATTACATTAGGTTATGTATGAGAAGCTCTTGTAAAAGTCCTAAAATGTTAGGGGACTTTGTTGGTAGCCCACACAGTGGCACTATTCCCTATTTTTCCTAACAGAGCTCTGGTGGTCACATCAGTCCTGCTAACCTCATCTTCTGATCCAAGGATGGGCCTACCTTTGCTGAGGTAATGTACTTTGCAGATTTCCTTTTCAAAGAGTTTCCTTGGCAATGATTACTTCAGGAAGGTACGTGACCACTTGATGCACGATGACACACGCGGGAATTTCAGGTACTCAGGGTTCTTGAGCCTGCTCTGAGAATGAAAGCACAGACAGACTCTAACAGCAGAGGTCGGAAAGATTTTATTTGAAGAGAAAAGAAGAGAAAGACTGCATATTGGGGAATGCAGGGGGGCCTGGAAACTGGTGATCACATGGGCCAGTAATTTTCTTGGAGGACCTGGGTCCAGGAGAGAAAGGAATAGCTGAGATGCTGGCTCCAGTATTGATAAGGAGGCTGACCTTGTGCTTTTCAATCATGAGTAAAACCCAGGGCTCCCCTGCTTTTCTGGTGGTCACAGGAGCCTGAATGGGAGGCCCTGGGACCTGTCATTGGGTGGGAGGCTCTGGCCTCGGTTCCCAGGGGAACCAGGGACAGTGTGCCTTGCAACGTTTTCACCGACAAATGGGACAGGGTCCCGGAGGTAGCTTTCTCCAGGGGCACTCCCTCCTAAAATGGCCTGCCTGTCCACATTTGAAAGCACATTCTCAGGTTTGGACTTTGCCCCAGGGGAGCTTCTGTGAGCACTGCGATCAGAGCCTCCTGCCACTTATCCTTTCCTTTTCCAGGTCCTTCCTTTCTTTTTCTAAGTCCCTGTTATTTTATACAGACATGGCTACACGGACCAATTGGTCCAGATCTCTGCTCCCTTCAGCCACCAATTTCTGAAGCTTTTACAGATATCTGGTGCTGACTGTGTTAGATATTTATCTTTTAGGACGACTTCCTTTTCCTGTGACTCTGGTATAATGTTGGTATGCTTTTGTAAAGCATCCTTAAGACTGTAGGAAAGCTACTGTGGTTTCTAAGGGTCCTTGCTGCGCAGCTGTGACTTGGGAATAATTAAGAGGTTTTACCTTGGCTCTCCTTAGACCCTTAGGAATGCAGTGGATGAAATGGTTATGGCTCCATTCATCCTTGTCATTTTCAGGGTCCCACTTGGGGAGCCCACTTAGTCCCTAGTACCCAGGGACTCCCTGATCTCCTGTTGGAATTGTGAATCGGGGTTCCCTTTTAGGTATCCAATGTCTTTGTCTTTTTTCTCTCTCCCCCTCCTCCTCCTGTGAGGGCCCAGTCTGAGACAGGCCTGGGGGGGCCACATTTATCTAAGTGATAATTGTCTCCAGCTGTGACTGCCTG